ATGAGATAAGATTCAATTTTTCATAAATAATATTTTTAATTTTAGTGTTATCAATAAAAAAATAAATATTAAAAGAATTTTTTTTATAAGATTTGGTGAACTTCAATCTTATACTAATCGAAACTCAATATAATTGTTAAATATCAAAAAATTAGCACTAAAAAATTTATTTATTTATTTATTTATTTTATCAAAATCACCTAAAATATATATATTGAAAAATAGGGAAAGGAAATCACCTAAAATGTTTACATGAATTTTAGGTTATAATTAATATTGTTAGTTGATAAATTTGCTGATTTTTTTGATTATTTAACAAAATAAAATTATAAATTAATATTTTTAAATAGTACTATATAATTAATTTTTAAGAAAATAAAAAATTAAGACATTTTGATATTAAAAATTATCTAAACCATAAGATAAATTTAATAAAATTAAAACTTATACTTCACATATTTAATAATTTTAATTAAATATCATAATACTTTTAAAGCAAAACATCCTAATTTTTCTTTTTTACTTAACTCTTTTTTTCTCTAGAAATTTATAAATTAATAAAATAAATCGAACGTAACTAAGCCCTAAGTAAAGGTATAAATGAAACTCATCTCTGAGTTTAAACTCAAATTTAAAACCAAGCTTACTTATATAAAAATAAACTGAGCTCCATTGTTTTCACGCCAAACGATACCAAGATTACCAACATTGCATAAGCTTGTTTTTTTTAATTTTTTCCATCCATGTAATTTGGAAAACAATGATAAATTGAGATAGAATCCAGAGCTGGGAAAGGAGGAAGTTGGCATGGTTTGGGATTGAATATGACATGGGAAACTTACATTAGAATCAAAGGACATATGGGCAGTGGTCCATATATTAAGCAGTCTGTTTTTTTCCATGGGATAAGACGCAAGCAATTGTACAATCTGAAAGCAACATTGATATTTGGTTAAACCCCAATTTGGTCTCTGATTTCTGAACTATTATATTAACCTACGATTTCATTTATAAACTAAAAAAATCTTTGATTTGATTCTTAAACAATTGTACGAATCCTCAATTTGGTCCTATTGTTTATCAATTTGTTTTAAGTTGGTCATTTTGTACAAAAAACAACTAACGTGTCTATTACTTAACTATAAAAAATAGTAACTTGATGATGAAAAACAATAACTGATCAATCACGTGTCGCGTTAATAACAAAACACGTTAATTGGTTATTGTACGAAAAGATCAACTTGGAGTAAATTGATAAACAAGATCAATAAGGACCAAATTGAAGGTCCGTACAATAATTTAAGGATCAAATTAGGGGTTTGTATAATAATTTAGGGACCAATAAGCAATTTTTTTAATTCAAGAACTAAATCAAAAGCTGGTACAATAGTTCAAGGACCAAATTGGAGATTTAATCTTGATATTTTCTTCAGCTTCCATAATATCTATACCTCAATCCTCAAGTGAATGCTATGCCACAGATGGAGATATAGATATTTTGTCACCAGCTCTTCTTTTGTATGCATTATTAGTACAGGGGGAAGTTCTTTCTTTTTCAACAGAATGAGATTTTTCTCTAGTCAATCTCCATGTCAACAAGCAGAGATCAAAATGGATCCTCAACAATGAGAAATATGTACAAATTTTGATCTCAACACTACTTTTCTCAAACAAGATACATACAAATAATCTGTTATTCGCAGAATAAAATCGCATGATACTCATATCAGTTACACTTGCCAACAGCTGGGGACCGTATTTAACTGGAACTAAAACCAATGTACAACATATTTCAGGCTAACCCGCACTTATTAGTTATTAAACATAATATCAAGATGGTGAGACAATTTCTACAGCTCTCAGGGAAATAAATCTTCCATGTGTTGCCATTTCTTTCTGTGGTTTTGGAGGATGTGAGATAAAACAACAAACAGACCTCTTCTGTTAGAAATGAAGCTGAAATTTACCTTTCTGAAATATACATAGATGCATGAATGTGCTAAGGGCACCCGCCAAGCATGTCCTTATTGGATGAAATGTGGCACGCTGAGCTTTTCCTAACCAACATCATGCTTAATGTCGACAAGTAATGCTGTGCCTTTCTTCACCCAGAGCTGGCTTCCAGTGGGAGGAGGGACTCTTGCTTGCCCTTAACAAAAAGTGCAAGTTCCTCTGGTGCAACAACCAATTTCAACCATTCTTGTAACTCTTCACCTTCCACTTTCTCATTTTCTGAATAAAACAAGTGTTAGAACAGCATAAAAGGAAAAGGAATTCTACACCTCAGGTCCTTAATGTGCATTAAATCCTTCCAACTCTATTTTACTAATTGGAATCCTAAACCTCAAAATGCACAAGCAAACTTGAATTAAGGAAGAAAGTATACTGACTGCAAGAAGAGTAGAATAGAATGCACACAAATCCTAGAAACAATAACCAGAAGTATATTACTATATATGATTATTATTTATCACCTTCAAGATGGGCACCAAGCCCCTCCAAAACAGTTGGATTAGCCCGTACAACCAAAAGTGCTACATCAAGGGCAGATTGCAACAGTGCTTTCACCTCTCTTTGAACAAGATCAACAAGATGCCCCTGTGCATTCCATTCTGGATTAGTCTAAATTTTCAGAAATGTAGGAAGAGAAACAAACTAAACTTACAAGTAATAACAAGAAAAAGAAACCAAATATAAGAACCTGATCTCTTCCCCATGGAACAGCTCCCCCAGACTCTTCCATCCCTCCACCAGAAATGGTAGACAGAGACACAGGACCTATTGTTTGATTAAGACCATATTCAGCTACTGCTTTGTATGCCATGTCAGTTGCTCGCCGTATATCATCAAGTGCACCAGTAGAAACACGCCCTGAATAAACAACTTCTTCTGCTGCACGCCCCCCAAGAAGAGTAACAAGACGGCCACGTAACTCATCAATGAAGAGCAAATATCTATCCTCATTTGTGGGAGGAGTATAAGTAAAGCCAAGTGCTCCTCCTGACCTTGGCAATATGCTCAGCTTCTGCCAACATAAATACAATACAAAACAACTTACAGCTATTCTTTTCAAATGAATACCAGGCAGTTAGTCAAGTTAATGAGTGTTGCATGACGTGTGGAAATATAATGCTACGGAAAAGATTTGTGCAGCATTTCTAAGTTGCTTTTATTATTACTTCAATTGCATTTAGGAATTTAGAAGTGGCACCCCCAGAAAAATTGATTCCAGATTTTATTCTAATTCCCAATCCCTCCCCCATCTCCAGAAAATAAGAAAACGAGGCAAAAGAAATGAGTGAGACTGGTATAAATGAAACTCATGCTGCCATTGCTCTTCTAGAAAACATTGGAGAATTCTCTTAACCTAACTCCATTCCAGAGAGTCAAAGTTCATACATCCTACACTGCTAACAATTATTAAGCTTTTAATTTACCCTAGTCCCTTCCCTGGCCGCCCATACTGTACAAACAATCAAAAGAGAATTTAAAGATTTTGATGGACAAACTAGTTTTCAAGTATATCATCTCCCAAGTAGGGACCTATAACATCAGTGCAGCCTGACCGTCTCTGGCACAGGACAACAGCATTGGCAAGCTACCTACCAGACAAACTCATTCACAGCCCTGGGTTCTCAACATTTTTCCAAGGTGATTCTCAGGTTACAAAAGAAAGAAGAAAACTGGAACATTCAATAAAAAATTTCTATGATTTACCTCAACACGTGGCTGTCCAGGCAGAAGATTTGCAACAGCTGTGCCTACCACTGCATGCCCAGCTTCATGCCTTGCAACAACAGCCTTCTCACTTCCTTGCAACTTGGCAGTTTTCTTCTCTATTCCCTATAAGAAGTAACACGTTTCGCGTCATTCAACTTCCAATTGAGTGTTTACTCATCAGTTTTAAGAATCACTAAATATTTTGGTTAGTCAGAGAGAGAGAGAGTTACAGCTATTGATCGCTCTACTGCTTTTTTGAAATCAGTTCTTTCCACAACAACTTTGTTCTTTCTTCCAGCAAGCAAAGCAGCTTCATTTACGAGATTTGCAAGGTCTGCCCTGCAAGACATTAAAATAAACAGTGATTCACACCATGTTAAGAAAAAATACAAATAGGACTTAAGTTGCAGAAACAGGAAAAATAGACATATAAATGATACACAAGGGTATGGGGAGAATACCCAGTAAAGCCAGTGGTCATGGAGGCAATGTCACCAATGTCAACATCCTCTCCTAAAGGGAGCTCTTTCTTAGAAACATGTACTTTCAAAATAGCTTCTCTCCCAATCCTATCAGGTGTCTCTACCTAGTAACCATGTGAGACAGAACACAGAATATTCTTGAGAAAACTATTTAAGCAGTAGGGAATTTATTTACAATAAACAAAACAATTAGAGAGTTAACTAAAAAATAGCAAAACATACAGACCATAACAACTCGATCAAATCTTCCAGGACGGCGAAGGGCAGGATCTAAGACATCAGAACGGTTTGTAGCTCCAAGAACAATTACAGCAGAATTGCTGTCAAATCCATCCATTTCCTGCAATGCAATGGCAAAAATTTTAGCTTTAAAGGGAAATGGCTAATAAGCTCAATAAGCAGAAACAATACCATGCAGGGAAACTTACAGTGAGCAACTGGTTCAAAGTCTGCTCTCGTTCATCATTACTAACAATGCGAAACTTACCATCACGGCTTTTTGCCACAGCATCTATCTGCAACATGAGTAGAAGTACCACTGAGTTTCTAGTGAAAGTCCAACAAGTATCATCCAAACTTAATCATACAACCCATATTCTCACCTCATCAATAAAAATTATTGATGGTGCCTCCTTCTTTGCTCGTGCAAAGAGATCTCTGACTCGGGAAGCGCCCATACCAACATATAATTCCACGAACTCACTAGCAGAACAACTTATAAATGGCACTTCAGCTTCACCAGCAACTGCCTTTGCTAGGAGAGTCTTTCCTGTCCCAGGAAGACCAACCTGTAAGACAAACAAAACCAAAAATATCAATTATATCATAAAATTTACGTAAAAGAGTAACTCTGGAAACAACTAAAATCAACCTCCAGCAACCCATTATATAGTGTTGGCTTACATTCTTGGGCATGCTACAATTAGGAACAACTAGAAAATTTTACTGGAACCATTAGTTGTCTGGAAATGGTAGAGGATATATCACACCACCATAGGAGACACTGAATTCCAGATATCACCCCAGTGATTGGTCACTGTTACATAAGTATTACGCTACTAACTAGTCTATGAGTTTCAACTCACCAGGAGAACTCCTCGGGGAGGACGGGCACCAAGTCGAATATACCTATCTGGATTCCTAAGAAACTCCTGGAACAATAAATCAGTATATTCAAAATATTTCCTGAATGAGAAGAAAACAATTGAAACAAAGTCCAAATATCAATTAACAGAAAAAATGGAGTAGAGAAAGTATAACACACCACAATTTCTTCAAGCTCTTCCTTGGCCTCATCAACACCAGCAACATCAGAAAAAGTAATTGTTTCTCCCTGTTCGGACACTTTTGCACCACCAGAACCCGCAGATTTGCGGTTCCTAATCTGACCAGCTGTATGCTGCATGCGTGCATGAATTCACTCAGAAACTAACCACACAATTAACCTCAAGAGTCAAGAGTCAACAATTTTAATAATTCATTAGCCAACTTGTACCTGAGAAAAGTTCACAGGGAAACGGTGGAGAAGCCCAGCCAGGACAGCAACATAAAACAAAGCTATCTGCAAGACAGAGCAAGTCAAAAGCAAAGAAGTCTGTCATCTCAAACATACCAAATATATGATTCAGAAACAACACCATTAACTCATTATCTCTTAGACATTTGGTCCACTTTCTATTTAGTTTCTTTCCTGTGGGAAACAATTCAACCTCCCCCTTCAGCCAATCCAATGACCCATCAAAATTCCATCATAAAATCCTCCTCTTAAACCGTCTCCTAAAATAAACTAAAAACTTTGAATGAAGCATTCAAAAGAAGAAAAAGAAAAAAAAAAAAGTTCTCCTGTTATACATACAGAGCATAAGATATCATGAATCCACCAAGTAACTTACCAAAGCAGAGTTCAAGAATCCACCAGACCGCTTATCCGGTGAACCAAACTCAACATCATTCTCCAGCATCTTCTCGTATGGAGTCTTTATATCACTGGGCCTCGTGGTAGTATACACAATCCTCTTGGTGGGTGCCACGCTTCTCAACAAGGACTCTGAGTCTTGCAACTTACTAAGCCCAACTTCACCCTCTTGAGAGTTACCCTCACCTTTCAACTTGAACATGATGTGTACCCCATCAACCTCAACTCTCTGCACATTATTATTGTTAATTTTGCTCAAAAACTCACTGTACGGTACACTCACAAACGTAGTCGGAGTTCTGGGCTCCGAACCGGGTAGCGGAATCCCGGGTCTGAGCAACCTCATAACAAACATAACAATACCCAACTGCAAAAGCAAAACTCCAATTTCCTGAGCCTGAACTATCGGCTGCCACTGCCATCTCTTCCCCTTGGACCACCAAACCCCCCTTTTCCCGCTCTTCTCTCCCCTCTGATTACCCGAAGACCCAGAATTTGGCGGGTTCTGTTTCACAGCCTGCCCTTCGCTCTCACTCTTCTCGCTGGAGCTCGTCTTGGAGTCGCTATCTTGACACCTAGCCAAAATTCTGCTCTCCCTCAATCCCACCTCACCTCTCCTCCAAAACCCACCATAAAGATTGAATCTTTCGTGGTTCCGAGCTACGGTGGCGTCTCTGTACAAGTTAATCGGCAAAAAAGAGATTGAATTGGACAAAAAACGGTTGGTGCTGAGGTGACCAACTCTATATCGAATACCACAGAAATTACAAAGGAGATTAGAATATGAATTCAAACAGACTCTATTGTGAATTGCTGTCGGCCGGAGAAATTCAACCGATGACATTTTTCCAAACCCTAGACAAACCCAAAAAATCAAAATACCAATTATTTATATCTCTGTGTTTATATCTGAAGAATTTTCCGAGCAAGGACAATATTCTTATTTTTATTACGGACGGCTGAGGAAAACAGCGTGCGTGCGTGCGATATGCGCCGTTAGATTTGTGGGCAACGGTGGGTTTAGAACCGTCGACTTTCTATTTTAAGACGATGTCTGAGAGCGGGCGTCGCTGAAAACAGTGGGGGAGTGAGGGGGGGAAGGGGATTGATTGGGTGCGTCGCGGAGTAGTGTGAGTATTGAACACGTGTGGAAAGGAAATTGGAGGTTATGTGGGTGGTGATGTGGCGTACAGGTGGAGGTTGGTAACCACACGCTTGGAGTTGATTGGCGACCACACACTTGGTGAGATTAGGGCCTTTACTTTGGATTTTGTTTTTGCATTTTTTTTTCCTTTTAAAGGGTTATTACTTATTGGGCTCAACTCTCGAGCTCCTAACCCTATGGGCTTTTATTGT